TTCTGTGAGAGATATCAAAAAGTGGTTAACTGATAAAATGTTGCTGATATTATGATAAACATTTTGTTAGTTGACAACTTTTTGATATCTTTCAAAAGAAGTGAGATATATAGGCTCAAAGTGGACGGTTCGAAAGGCATTCTATTAGAGTGTTTACGGTATATGATTTTAAGATTCTCAGATTTCTAGATTTTTACATGTTTCAAGATTCTCAGAATTCGAAGACTTCAGGATTTTCAAATTTTAGGATTTCTGGATTTTAAGATTTTCAGGTTTTTTAGAGATTTCTGGATTTTCAGGGAAAAACATTTCTTGGAATCTGAAAATTCGGAAAGATCGAAATTTCATAAAATCTAAAAATCTGAAAACATGAAAATCTGATTCAGGAATGACTGAATCTTAGAATCCACGAATCTTGAAATCTCGGATTCTCAAATTATCCAATTTTAGATTTTCTGGATCTTCAATTCTGAAAATCTGAGAATCCAAGATTCTTGGCTTCCCAAATTCTCCACGTCTTCCTTCCCTTGCCCTTCATCCTTCATTGCTCATCCTAATCCTTGACGCACATTATAACTCCAAAACTAATCACAAATCCTTCCAAAAACATTGAGCAAAAAATCCCTCTTCCATTGCTCATCTTTTTTTTTCTATTTATTCCGAATGCTCTTCCTCTTTTGCCCTAATCTAATCCCCACACTTCTTTTTTCATCTCTTTTGGAGCCCCCTTCGGTGCTCCGGATGTGTACGTGTACATTTAGTCCTTATTTCCCATCCGCACGGATTTATATGAAATCCCTTTCATAAATCTCTGGAAGCCCCAATTTCCATTTCCCAGATTTTCGCCAAATTTTCTCATTCTTATTAGAATGAGAATTTCCACATTTGAAGCATTGAAATTTTCAATTCTTAGGTCATGACCTAGATTTCAATTCTTAGGCCATGACCTAGATTTCAATTCTTAGGCCATGACCTAGATTTCAATTTTTAGGTCATGACCTGGATTTCAATTTTCAGGTCATGAACCTGGATTTCAATTTTCAGGTCATGACCTGGATTTTAATTTTTGGGCTTTGACCTAGATTTCAATTTTTGGGTCATGACCTAGATTTTAATTCTTAGGTCATGACCTGGATTTCAATTTTTGGGTCATGACCTAGATTTCAATGTTTGATTTTGGACATGTTAAAATTCAGGCATTTTTCGCAAAAATGCTGAAAATCCGGAAATCATTGGAATTTTCGTATTCCACTTGTTTGAATTTTTTTTGTTTTCTAAATTCTCTTCACATTTTCTATCATGTTTTCATTGAAATCGTTTTTTCTTCGGCCGTAGTATCTTGTAAATCGTGCCGTGCCGCCCGGGTGGTCTCTATCTATCAAGATGATGACCATATCATCATTTTTCTTCTTCCTTTTTTTCCCGTTGTTGTTAAAAGTTTCGAAAAATCGATTTTTCCATTTTTCTGTCAATTTTGACCGATTTTGAGGCATTCTCGGGCGTCGCCGGCAACTTCTGGCCGGAGGCTGGTCGGCTTCAGGATGGAACTTGGTCAGATTCCGGCAAAGACATTGTGGGAAGCCGACCAAGATCCGACAAACTACCGGCCAACTTCCGACCTCCTAACAGCAGGGGCCGGTTCGGTTCGCGTTTATTGATGTTTTTATAGAGAAACATCGCATTATGTAGAATTTTATTTATTAAAAAAAAAGAATTATACATGAAAATGAACAAAATTAGGGGAAAAATACAGAAAAATAAGAAAATCATGATTTAGATTTTTAAATTTTGAAGATGTCGCTGTGAATCGTGACGAATACAGGAGAAGAGGCTATGTCTGAAATGTGAATAAAATTAGATATTAATTCAGAAAATAGGAATTGACCTGATTAACTTTCTTGTCTTTCTTCGAATTTTCTAGCATCCAGTTATTTCTTTGATTCCTGGAAACAAAACTTCCAAAAATACAGTTTTTTATCAACAAAAATTACCTTCTAGTTGCGATATCTCCCAAGCACTTGACATTAAAAATGTTGACTTGAACTTTATTTATCTGAAAAATTTAAATTATGACAAGAATTCAAAGAATAAATTACCTGATAAGTTTCGTACTCTTTTTTTCGAGAACATCGTCTGTTATTGTCTCCGAAGTACTTGTCTGAAAAAATGCTCCAAAAATTGAAAGGATGCAACTTTAAAGGAGGACTCCGACCAAAAATTTTTATTGCATTAAAATGTGTTAAAAGTTATCTGTTTTTCAAATATTATTGCGAAAAAATTCAAAGAAAATCCAAAACCCCCGAAAAACGGCGTTGAAAAGGAAGAAAATTCAAAAAATGGTGCCGCCGGGGGACGAGGATTTTCAGTGAGAAACCTAGGCCACGGCACCTGACAGCCTTTTTTTCAAGTCGCCGACAGTGGTTTTTTACGTTTTTTACCTGCCGGACATGAAATTGAAAAAAATCCTGAAAATTTGCCACGTAGGAAAGGCGCCCGCTGCCGTGGCCTAGGTTTCTCACTGAAAATCCTCGTCCCCCGGCGGCACCTTTTTTGAATTTTCTTCCTTTTCAACGCCGTTTTTCGGGGATTTCGGAATTTTTTTGAATTTTTTCGCAATAATATTCGGAAAATAGATAACTTTTAACATGTTTTAATGCAATACAAATTTTTGGTCGGAGTCCCCCTTTAAAACAAAGTTTTTAGGGAAACGGCAAGAAAAATAGTTTAGAAAACAAATTTAAAATGAGTGAAGCACGCGCCGCATAACACGCAGCACCTTCAAATTCCGGCCAAAATCCGATCATTGTCCGTCCCACTGCTGCGGTGGGCAGCTTCTGACCCAAAGCTGACCAAGATCCGTCCAAAAGCCGAACCCCCTCAACTTCCGGCCAGAAATTGCAAGCCGACAGCCGAGTTGTAAATCTTTTTCCTAATTTTTAGGTTAAAAAAGCGCAAAATAAGTGAAAATATACAATTTCGAGTTCGTTTTGAATTCATAATTCCTCTTTTTTTTTCATATTTTTTCTGACTAATTTTCGCGATATCTTTCGCAGTTTTTTTGAATTTTTGAGATATTTTTGATTTTCTAAAATAGGTGCGGTGAAAAATTTTATTGCTTTATTTTGTGCAGAAATTCATGTAGATTCCCATAAAAATGAAGAAAAAATTCGAAAAAAATTCCTTCATTGAGAAAAACGGCATCGAAAAGTCAAAGTGGGAACCGGTGGCCTAGCGGCCAGGTGTGAGTTTTCTAGGCCAACTGCCGGTAAAAGCGCGCGAAATTCGAATTTTTATTGATTTTCAGTGTTTTCTCTGATGGTTTTTAAAGATTTCAAAGTATTTTCGTTAATTTCCTCCCAGGTGAATGAAAAAACTTTTTCTCAATGAAGGATTTTTTTTTGAATTTTTTCGTTATTTTTATGGGGATCTACATGGAATTCTGCACAAAATACACCACCTTTAAGGTTATTTTTGAGTAATTTTTGACTTTTTTTCAAATGGTTTTGGTCAATTTAAAGAATTTTTTAACTCTTTTAGACAAATTTTTGGGTCATTTTGAACCACTTTTTGAGTATTTTTTTGCCGATTTTTCCCTTATTTTCGACTATTTTCAGCCGTTTTCACATGATTTTTTGACTTTTTTTTTTTATTTTTTCCAATTTCCCGCCTAAACCTGAAAATTGAAATTTTCGAAAATTTTCGCCTATGTTTCGACTGAAACGTCGCCTATATAAACTTACAATTTCTCTTTTATTTTTTCAGTGTTATCAGTTTTTATCAATTCGACACGTTTTCTCTTTTTCAGCGACCTCTCCGCTATCTGCGGCAGGGAGGAGCATGTGACTGTGATTGCCTAGAAAATGCAAAAAGCAGAAATTCGGCCATATATTTAAGAGCTACGTTTTCGAGCCACAATTTTCTAAAGATCGAAAAAAAAATTCAACAAAATAGTTGTTTGTTTTTTTTTTTGGATTTCTAGGCCAAGGAATCTACTAAAAATTTCAAAAAAAATCGAAAAAAATAAGATTTTCTCGCGTTCTTTGCCTTTTCTTCCTCACTCGGAGCCCATGGCCTAGAAATCCGCAAAACCTCTTCCATCTCCCCTTCCCCTCCTTCCAATCCCTTTTAGTGTCCCCCTCCCGCCGCTTCCCCCCGCCATTGCCTTTCCGTGCAAATGTCTCTGCGTCTCTATCCCTGTCTCTCGCTCTCTAGCACTCTCTCCTCCCGCCACACTCTCTGGCTCCATCGTCCTCCCGCGGGCCTGAAGCGGGCCAATATAGAGGTCTAGAGACGACGAGAGAGTATTGGAATCTAGGAGAGAGCGAGAGAAATGGAGAGACGCAGAGAAAAAGAGCGAGAAGGGACAACAAAACGGTTGACGTTTATACCTCGTGTGTCTATGTGTGTTGGGGTGGGAAAAAGATGAAAAAAGAGAAAAAGTGGGGAGTTTTTTTTTCTTTTTTTGTTATTTTTTGGGAACTTTGTTCTTGTTTATAGTCACGTTTTTTTTTGCATGATGACCCGGTTTTAATCGATATGAAATGAAATAAATTTGATTTATACGCACCGCCCGTTTTCCCTCCCCGCCGTTTTTTCATCGATTTTTCGCGGCAAATTTTGCAGTTTTTCCGCGAAAAATTGACTTGAAAACGTCAATTTTCGTGTAAAATCGTCGAACAAATTTGAAAATTTTGCTATTTTTTGCTGGAAAATGTTTGAATTTTCGGCGAGAAATCGGACATTTTCGTGTGAAAATCGTCGAGAAAACTGCCATTTTTCAACGAAAAATCATACGAAATTCCAGTTTTCCGCTCAATTTTTCACCAAAAAATCGCAAAAAACAATTCAACTTTCGATGAAAATTTTTGATTTTCTGCAAAATTTTTTTCGAAATTTCGTTTTTCGTCCGAAAACTGTTCCTTTTTCTGTTTTTAGTTGAAAAAATCAAATAAAAACTAACCGAAAATCGAGAAAACTTCAATTTTTAGCAAAAAAGAAAATTTTTCTGATTTTACATTTTTTTCGATTTTTCTGAATTTTCCCTCAAAAAAAAACTTATTTTCCGGCCAATTTTTTTTTCAAGACTATTTTCCAGTTTTAAAAACCTCAAAATCTCGATTTTTGACCTCGAGACCCCAAGGTTTTATTATTTTTCTTTTTCGCAAAATTGTCAATTTTTCCGAATTTTCCTGTGACTTTCATGATTTCCCATGTCTATTTTCGAATTCTCCTCATTTTTTTCACCTTATAAAATCCTGAAAACTCCAGAAAAACTCCCAAAAAATCGAGAAAAATCTGAAAATTCGGCGCTGAAAAAAAGTTTCTAGGACAATTTGCATGCGCGCTCCACAGTGTTTATGAAGTATTTTTGGAGTTTCAGAGGTTTCAACGCCTGTTTTCTAAGCAAAAATGTGCTAAAATTTGTTGAAAATAGCCCAAAAATGCTGAAAACCCAAGATATTGGTTAATTTGAGCAAGCGCACTCCACTGAACCCTGTTTTTTCGCGTATTTTTTTGAATAAAAAAACGACGATTTTCAGCGTTTTTGAGCGTTTTTTTGCGTATTTTCGCTCAAAATTTTCAAATTTCCGCCGAAAAATCCTCCTTATCATCTTTTCCGCTGTCTTCCCTTCCCAATTTGACCCAATTTTCGCGTCGAAAAACTTTCACTTTATCATAATTTTATTATCTCTTTTCTTCTTGTATTTCGCGTCTAAAATCAATTAAAAACAAAATTTTTTAAATAAAAAAACATTATTTGCAGAAGTCTCTTTCTCTCTTCTCTCTGCACTCTCTCTCCCTCTGGATTCTTCCAGAAGACAGAATTCAGAATGCACGGAGCCGGTCACAGTTTGACGGGCGCCCCGCATCAAATTCCGCCGCCACGTACTCAGGGAGCGGCGACGGGCGGCCAGCAGCTCTCCGCCACCGCCAATCAATTCGTCGATAAGATTGATCCGTTCCACAATAAGCGTGGCACTTCGCGACGGCTGTAAGTGGCTTTTAGAGGCTTTCTAGGGGGCTGGAAGTTGAAAAAATGGATTTTCAGGTTAAAATTGGTCTGGATCCCATGAAAATTGTGCTGGAATTCGACAAGAAAAAACTGAAATTTCGAAAAAAAATTTCAAAAAAAAATTTTTTTTTGTAGAAAATTCAAAATTTCAGCTGATTTTAAGCGATTCCGGCGTTATTTTAGCTGAAAAAACGTTTTTTTGGAGCTATCTTCACCTAAAAATCCCCATTTTCCAGACGCATCAACAACAGCAGCCGCTACAATGTCGACTCGGCACAGGAGCTCATTCAGCTTCCAATGATCAAGGGTAGGGCTTAAAAATGAATGATTTTTGAGTGAAAATGAGCCAAAAATCGAGAAAATCAACCGATTTTAAGCAAAAAATCGTGCAAGATCAGTGAAAGCACACCATGTCCGAACTATGGATTTCTAGGCCACCCAATGTCAATTTTAGCTCAAAATGGCTCAAACATCAACTAAAAATCGTTCAAAATAGCTGAAAGCACACCATGGCCGAACTTTTTGGGTTTCTAGGCCACCGAGGCAGAAATCCCGTTTTTAGCCGATTTTTTTTTGCGATTTTGGACATTTTTGGCTCTTTTTCGACAATTTCTAGCAGATTCTCGTCGATAATCGCAAAAATCATGGAAAAGTGGATTAAAATGACCCAAAAATATTGAAAATTGGCTGAAAATCATGGAAATTCACCATGGCCGAACTTGTTGGGATTTCTAGGCCACCGAGGCAAAACTCGGTTTTAGCCGATTTTCTTGCGATTTTCGATACTTTAGGCTGATTTTTATCGATTTTCAGCAGTTTTCAGCTGAAAAATGAATCAAAAATCATGAAAATTGGCTTAAAACAACCTAAAAATAGAGAAAATTGGCTAAAAACTGTCCAAAACCACTGACCGCACACCGTGGCCTAACTTTGTGGATTCCTAAGCCGTCTGGCTATTTTTGGCGGATTTTGACGATTTTAGGTCATTTTGAACCGATTTTTATGATTTTTAGGTTGATTTTCAGAGATATTTAGCCACTTCAGCCTATTTTCAAATTAAAATAAGCCAAAAACCATGAAATTTGGCTAAAAATGCCCCAAAAATATTGAAAATTGGCTAAATACTGTCCAAAACCACTGACCGCACACCGTGGCCTAACTTTGTGGATTTCTAGGTTCTCTGGGGAAAATTGAGCCGAAAATCGCCAAAATTCATGAAAATTGGCTGAAAATGACCTGAAAATCGTGAAAAAAAGTCCAAAAGCACTGAAATCACACCATGGCCTATTTTCAGTGAATTTAGCGTATTTTCAGCCGTGTTCAGCTGAAAAATAAATGTTGCGAATTTCGACATTTTTGGCTCTTTTTCGCCAATTTCTAGCAGATTTTCGTCGATTTTCAGGGGAAAATGAGCAAAAATCATGGAAAAGTGGCTTAGAATGACCCAAAAATGTTGAAAATTGGCTGAAAATCATGGAAATTCACCATGGCCGAACTTGTTGGGATTTCTAGGCCACCGAGGCGGAACTCGGTGTTAGCCGATTTTCTTGCGATTTTCGATACTTTAGGCTGATTCTTATCGATTTTTTCAATCGATTTTCAGCTAAAAAGTGCCCTAAAATTCATAAAAATCGGCGAAAAATGACCCAAAAATGATGAAAATTGGCTAAAACTTGTCCAAAATCACCGGCAGCGCACCATGGCCTAACTTTCTATAGTTCTAGGCCACCGAAGTTTTTGCCGAGATTTTAAGCTTTATTTTAGGGATTTTAGCGTACTTTCAGCAATGTTCAGCACATTTTTTACTAAAAAATAAGTTTAAAAATCATGAAATTTGGCTAAAAATGACCCGAAAATAGAGAAAAATTGCTAAAAATCGACCAAAAGCACTAAAAGCACGCCGTGGCCTAACTTGTAGGATTTCTAGGCCAACTGGTTGTTTTGAGCGAATTTGAACGATTCTAGGATGTTTAGGACCCGATTTTAGCCAATTTTAGACTCAAAAATTGGATTTTTGGTCATTTTTGACCGATTTTAAGCTATATTACGTCATTTTTAGTCAATTTTGGCCCATTTTTATCCGATTTTAGGCTGATTTTAGGCGACTTTAGGCCAGTCTATTTTCAACTAAAAATGAGCCAAAAAACTGTGGAAATTGGCTGAAAATCGTCCAAAATCACTAAGAGTACACCATGGCCTAGCTTTTGGGGTTTCTAGGCCACCATCGGATCTAGGATGTTTGAGAGCGATTTTAGCCAATGTTAAGCTCAAAAAATTGGATTTTTGGTCATTTTTCACCGATTTTAAGCTATTTTAGGTCGTTTTCAACCGATTATAGGTTATTTCGAGCCAGCTGAAGCCTACTTTCAGCGATTTTAAGCCAAAATTGTCGACATTTTTATTCCAGACACGGCCAGCAACGAGCAGCCAGCCCTGGTCATCGAAAAACTCGTCCAATGCCAGCACGTCTTTGATTTCTACGATCCGGTTGCTCAGCTTAAGTGTAAAGAAATCAAGCGAGCCGCCCTTAACGAGCTGATTGATCATATCACGTCGACGAAAGGCGCAATCGTTGAGACAATCTATCCGGCGGTGATTAAGATGGTCGCCAAGAACATTTTCCGCGTCCTGCCACCGTCTGAAAATTGTGAATTCGATCCGGAAGAGGATGAGCCCACTTTGGAGGTCTCCTGGCCTCATTTGCAGGTTTGTTTGGGCTGAAAATGACCTATTTTTCCCTATAAAATGGTCCATTCTTAGGCAAAAATTGCAAAAATCGGATAAAAATGATATATTTTGAGCAAAAAATCACCCAAAAAACGCTAAAAATCGGAATTTTTGAAGGTGACCTAGAAAACGCGAAAATTGGTTTTCTAGGCCACCACTGGAAAAATCATGAAAATCGACCAAAAAATCGCTGAAATACGTATTTTTGTCGTGGTGGCCTAGAAAACGCAAATTTTGGATTTCTAGGCCACGCGTTTTGGGCAGTTTTCGTAGCCTAGAAACCTAGAGATTTGGATTACTAGGCCACCAATCTGTGGCCTAAAAATACTCCAGAGCGATTTTCTAGGCCATCAACGAAATTTGAATTTTCTCCCAAAAAATAGATGGCCTAGAACCCAAATTGTGATTCCTAGGCCACCGAACAACTCGTGGCCTAGAAAACCGAAAATCACAAAAACTAGGCCACCAATTTTTAAAAAAAATTTCACAAATTTGAAGCAATACGTGGCCTAGAAACCCTGGAGAAAGTTAGGCCACTAATAAGAACTTTTTCCGGTGGCCTAGAAATCCAAAAAGTGCAAATCTAGGCCACGAGACAGCTCGCGGCCTAGAAGCCTGACTTCTTGGGTTTCTAGGCCACGAGAAAGGCGTGGCCTAACTTTTCATATTTTCGGATTTTCTAGGCCACCAACATCTATGGGTCTAGAAATATTCTACAAGTGTTTTCTAGGCCTATCACCGTGGTAGCCTAGAAAACTCAACTTGCGAAAGTTAGGTCATCATGTTCAAATGGCCTAGAAAACACACTATTTTAAGAATGACTCGAGATTTATGGTGGCCTAGAAAACCAATTTTGAAGTTTTCTAGGCCATCACTTCCAAAAGTTTGATTTTGACGATGATTTTCCGACGATGATTTTCAAAAATCCGCAAAAACCCATTCTCTGCAGCTGGTCTACGAACTGTTCCTCCGTTTCCTCGAATCGCCGGATTTCCAAGCTTCCATCGGAAAGAAGTACATTGATCAACGATTCGTGCTGAAACTGCTCGACTTGTTCGATTCGGAGGATCCGCGCGAGAGGGACTTCCTGAAGACGGTCCTTCATCGGATTTATGGAAAATTCTTGGGACTGCGGGCCTTTATTCGTAAACATATCAATAATATGTTTTTGAGGTGAGAAATTGGTGAAAAAATCATGAAAATTGGCTAAAAATCGTCCGAATTCACTGAAAGCCCACCATGGCCAAACATTTTGGATTTCTAGGCCACCGAGGTAAAAACCCGTTCTTAGCCGATTTGTTTGCGATTTTCGACATTTTTGGCTCTTAATAATATATTTATTTATTTGCTATCCGCTGCACGGAAAGTTCTCAAAATTTTAGATATTTGAGGGCGGAAATTTTAGTTTTTTGATGCCTGTAAAAATTTGAGATTTTAGAAGTCACGTAATTTTACGAAATTTTACGAATTTTGAAGTTTGGTCTGGAATTTCAGTTTTTACAATTAGACCTGAAAAAACGAAGCTTTTGAATAACTTTGAGATATTAGGCTGGTACAAAAGTAATGCGCGTTTTTGATTTACTTTATTACTCCCGTCCGAAATCAATGCACGTTGCGGCCGAAAATTTAGTCAAAATCGCAACGCCGGTCGCACAGCGAAAACAACAAATTGATGCATGCGCCTTTAAATACCGTACCTTTTTTTTTGGGCCTTATTTACCTGTTTTTTCTATTTTATAAGAAAAATGAATTAAAGATTTATAAGAATTACACAAAATAATAATATATTTATTTGAAATGCATGGGGGAAATCGATAGATAATTAGGCAAGAAATGGGACCTGTACAAATAAAAAAGTAAAATTACCAGACGGACCGACTAGAGTCCTGTAGGTCAAGTGGGAGGGATCAGAATATCATGAGGAATCGCTCCTACTCGCTTAACAAACGCCACCGGACTGAGCTTAGAATTTATCATCTTACATACACGGTTCCACATAGACAAGTTTCTGTGAAGGAAGCAGTCAAAGTATTGACCGTTGATTTTGAACAAATACGGGGCTCTGTTAGAATGGCTGGGAAGAATGTAGGACGACATAGAGGGAAATGGTATGAGTTTATAACAATTTTGTGATAGGTACGAAGAACTAGAAGGGTGCGGCGATGAAGGGTGGTTAGCCTAGAGAACTGGGATAGGCGATCGGTGTAGGAATTGAAGGGCATATTACATCTCTGAAAGACTTTTCTGGTGAAATAACGAAGAGGAGATTCTAGTTTATTGGCTAGTGTAGCATTGGATGGATCGAAAAGTTCACAACCGTATTCGAGGACCGGTCTAATGTAGGTGTCGAAGAGACGGAAATATAAACAAGGGTTTTTCGATTGGAACGTTTTCAGTATTTGGCGGGACTTGAGTTTATCAGAGTAGGCAATAAGATTGATGTGTTTGTCGAATTGAAGTTGATGAAAATTGTCTAAAAATGACCCAAAAAATCATATAAAATAGCTGGAAATGAGCTGAAAATGAGCTCAAAGTTCTAAAAAACGGCTGAAAATGACCCAAAAAATCGAAAAAGTCGTCCAAAATCCCAAAAAATCCACCATGGCCTAATTTTTTGTGATTTCTAGGCCACAGAGGCAGAACAACTCGGTTTTAGCCCATTTTTGCCTATTTTTGGGTCATTTTCAGCCCATTTTCAGCCAAATTGCTTACCGAAAATCCCCGAATTTTCAGATTCGTCTACGAGACGGACTCGTTCAACGGCGTCGGCGAGCTTCTGGAGATACTCGGATCGATTATCAACGGATTCGCGTTGCCGCTGAAACAAGAGCACAAGGTTTTCCTGGTCAAAGTGCTCCTTCCACTTCACAAACCCAAATGTCTATCGTTGTATCATGCTCAGGTATGCGTTTTTAGAGCGAAAATCGCTCAAAAACTGGATTTCTAGCTCAAAATTGACTGAAAATGACGTTTTTTCGGCTAACAATCGATCTATTTTGACCCGAAAAACGTTAAAAATCGTCTAGCACACCATGGCCGAACTTTTTGGAATTCTAGGCCATGACTCGAAAAACCTAAAATTGACCGATTTCGACGTCAAATTGGTCAATTTTTGTCGAAAAAATCAATTTTCTCGACCAAAAAATGCCTATTTTTGACATTTCTGACGCCTTAAACACCCAAAAAATGACCCGGAAACCCTAAAAACACGATTTGCAGCTCGCCTACTGTGTCGTCCAGTTCATCGAGAAGGACTCGTCGCTCACTCCGCAGGTCTTCGATGCGCTGCTCAAGTTCTGGCCACGTACATGCAGTAGCAAGGTAGCTATTATATACCCAAAAATCGAAATTTTCGTCAATTTTTGACCAGAAAATTGAGTCTTCCCGGCAGTTTCGACCTGAAAATCACGTTTTTGGGGCTGAAATAGGCCCAAAAACCATGAAAAATGAATGAAAATGAACTAATTTGAGGTTTGGTGGCCTAGAATTCCCAGAAATGAGATTTCTAGGCCACCTATAACAAATTTGGCTCAGGTGGCCTAGAGCTTCAGATCGCAAGCTCCGCCCACTTATCATAATATTGGTGGTCTAAGTTTTCTACAAAATTCAAATTTCTAGGCCATCAAGCCAACTACTGGTGGCCTAGCTTTCTCCATTTTGGTTTTCTAGGCCATCTCGGTCTAATTCGTCCCCAGCTGGCCTAGAAACCGCATTTTTTAAAATTCTAGGCCATCCCAATTTGGTTTTTAAAAATGGCGGAGTTTAAAAAATGAAGCTCCGCCCCTTTTGGTCTTCCATTCCATCCTGGTCTTTGTCTGAAAGGGGGGGGGCGGAGCTTGCGATCAAAAGCTCCACCCCCTTCTTTCATGAGGGATAGAGACCTGGATAGAATGTAGGATCAAAAGGGGCGGAGCTTAATACTCTAAGCTCCTCCCCTTTATTGAAGTAGCAACATTACCTAGAACAGAATGGGCGGAGCTTAACAGTAGTCTAAACTCCGCCCCTTTTGCTCCTCCACCCCATCCTGGTCTTTGTCTAAAAGGGGGCGGAGCTTGTGATCAAAAGCTCCGCCCCTTTTTTTTCATGATGGATAGAGACCTGAATGGAATGTAAGATCTAAAGGGGCGAAGCCAATCAACCTAAGCTCCGCCCCTGATCTAATCTAGCTAGTGTTCTAAAGCACCACCCCCTAATTCTTCGAATTTTTGAATGGGCGGAGCTTAAAAAGGAAGCTCCGCCCCTTTTGATCCCCTACCCTCCTCCCTATTGATTACACTGATCTAATCGTGCTCCGTTTTCTGAAGGAGGTGATGTTCCTTGGCGAAGTGGAGGAGATACTCGACATCATCGAGCCGGAGCAATTCAAAAAGATCATCGATCCGTTGTTCCGTCAGCTAGCCAAATGCGTCAGCAGTCCGCATTTCCAAGTCGCCGAACGGGCTCTCTACTTTTGGAATAACGAGTATATTCTGTCGTTGATCGAGGATACCTCCAGTTTGGTGAGTTTTTGAGGGCTTTTTCGGAGGAAAAATGATTCAATTCGACCTAAGATGACATGAAAACGAGCAATTTCATGCTAAATTTGCCTTTAAATTGATATTTCTAGGCCAAAATTGACCCTGGAACGTCCCAAAACTGACAAAAATGACCTAGAAATCGAAATGGCCGAGTTTTCCGGATTTCTAGGCCATCAGAAAATTGAAAAAAATTGACCAAAAATAGCCCTAAACCTGTCAAAATGGCTCAAAAAACGAAGAATTTTCAAATGAGCATGGCCGAGTTTTGGATTTCTAGGCCATCGAGTTTTAGATGAACCCAAAATGGCCGAAAATCGACCAAAATAAGCCTAAAATCGGTCTCAGAAGGCCAAAAAGCCTAGATGGCCGAGATTTGGATTTCTAGGCCACCAAGGCGGAAACATGTGAAAACAGTCTAAAAACAGCTTTAAAAATTTTAGGTGGCCGAGTTTTGGAGTCCTAGGCCACGGATCTTGAAAGGCAAAAAACAAAAAAATTCACTAAAAATGACCCAAAATTGTCAAAATAGCTTTAAAAAAACGACGAAAATTCAGGTGGCCGAGTTTTGGATTTTCTAGGCCACGACAGAAATACATGAAATACCAGGAAAAATTGTTGAAAATGGGTCGGAAACTCCAGAAAAAAATGAGCAGAAAATCATCAAAATGACCCAAAAGTCTTGGTGGCCGAGTTTTGGACTCCTAGGCCATCTAATTTTGATGAACCCAAAAAGACCAAAAACTGACCTTTACAGTTTCGAATTTGTCAAAAATTGCCCAAAATGAGCCTAGAATC